GGACGATACAAAGCTCCCATACGTCAGACGAAATATCAGAGATTAAGGAAGTCATCTGCGAGAGTTGGGAATTTCCTAGCGGAATTTATTACTCAACAAATTGAAGATGTTTGCAGATATATCATCTTTCGTTTGATATTTTCTTCGAAAACATTTATTTCATAAAATCGTAAATAGTTAGCATTGAGAACCCAATTTGAGTGTATTTCGTTTTTGTACAAATGGACGAGTTGTTATTTAAAGACAGTTTTTTATAGATTGAAAAGTCTATTTTCTCTCATTAAATTTATTGGCCAGCTTCATGATTTAAAAAAATATGAGAATATTCCTATCATTTCTGCTATGTTTACAAATTATCATCAATAATGTGGGTGAATTGTTCATATTCATTGATAAACCGAATTGGGGGGCCTTATAGGTGATTAATACGTAGAAATGATTCATATTTAATTAACAAATACAGGAAATCCCTCAATAGTGGTTTGAAATTTGAAATTGGATTCAAGAATTTGATTTTTTTAAATAATTGAGACAAGTAGTAGATCCACCATTATCTTCGCTTCATTGTTTGTTTTCATATACTTGTATAGCGCGCTAGGAAAGTCTCTCGTACGGATCCCAGCCTGCCGACACCTACGCTTCCGTCCTTGGTTTCGCTGCGGTGCGGCAATTGTAACGTGTGCCGTCACATCACTCCCTTTCGGACAGACCCATCGCTGCCTGGTTTCTCGTGATAACATCATTTATGTTGCTAGTACTCTCACCAGCATGGTGACACTGCAGAGAGACTCGCGCACTTCGGTTGGCCACGCCTCTACTACCTCAGTAGATTTTGTTCCTACCGTCTACCACTGGCCTTGTCAACACGCCGCCTGCGGGCCACATGAGTCCCGCCACGTCAAATTGTGCGGCCAGCCAACGATTTCATATTACTTGATTTCATCAAGTAGTGGACATTTTATTTTTCGTTGAACATATACAAAAAATTAAATAAATGGAAATTCACATGAGTTTCCGTTAACAGAATTTCACAAAACAACGAAAGATTTGTTATTCCACTTTAACGTCGCTGCGAATCCTGTTCAGTCATTAAACAGTTAAACTAAAATGTATCGGAACTAATATATAGACCACATAGGCACATAAACCACGTAGAAAGTGCGACATACTTTGATATCCGCAATATTCCAAGAAATTCGATATGACTGGCTCGTGATTCAGAGCGAAATTACTCATGTTTCACCAAAACGGGTTCGAGTCCCGGACAATCTCATGTGAGTTTTGTTCTTACAAAAAAGTTTGATGGCTTCAGAAGGGCTAGTCCAACCACTGTGAAGTGTCCTAAACCCCACCTCCTTCCTAAATCCTTCCCAATTCTGGCCGCTGGTTAGTGACGGAGCCATGTTGATAAATGCTACCTGGCGGTCGCCTTGGCAACTCTAAATGAGTACGGCAAAACTGGACAGCAGACCAATGTAAAAATAAATGTTAACGGAGGATTACTCCTTAAGCAAAAAGAGAGCGCTCAACGCTCTTCGAGGAGTTTGGAGATACGTGACGTCAATGCAGACGCAACAATTAAAAAAAAATCACAATGACACACTCAATTCATTGAGGTTGAAACGAAACAAGTTGTATCTGGAAATACGGCAACAACGGTTCTTTCTTAATAAGTTAATAAACATTCACATCCCTACGAGTTTGATGAATTTAGTCGACGACATTGTGAACCGCGCGGAATGTAGAGAAGGTAGCTTCAGAAAGAGCGCAGCATTTGCTAGCATACATATGATTTATTAGAGGTTAGACGTGAGGTATAATTCTTTGCTGATGTTATTAATCGTACCATTTCAAGGGAATCTCTGTTTATGCATCAGATTTGTTTTCAACTTATTGGCGTGCTTACTAAATTTTTTGTAGTGCTAATAATAAAATAAAGTGGCATCGGAAGAATCAAAGTTTTTAATCCAAACAAATTCTGAAATTGACTCACATGAGTTTAATTATATATTTTTACAAAAGCAAATAAAATTAAAAATTAATAAGAAGTAAATATAATCTTAAAATGATGTATGTTATTTAAAATTTTCAAGTTTTTTATTACTACTTGCATTAAGTCTAAGAAATAATTAAAAATTGGCATTTACAAAATTATCACAAGATAACAGGAGATCGCGCATCTAAAACTTCTGATTAAAAATTCTTATTGATGTAAAAATTTCTTAAAGAAACAAATATCTTATTAATTAAGACTACAGGGTTAAATGTATTAAATATTAGTGTATCAATAAAATTTAATTCATTTTTGATTTTATTATTTTTTAAAGCATATTTACCTAAATGTGACCCCCGCTATAGAGTTACGGGTCATCAAAGTGACACGTGAAACCATTTGGTTTGGTCACACCTGGCCTACCATTTACAACCCACCTGAATGTTAACACTTTAATATTCAATTAGTTAAATTACAATAACTCTAATTAAATTAAATTACAAAAACCTGTTACTTCCTCTAAATGGGTTACCTACTTTGAACCATCTGAATAAATAAATAAATAAACTAAATAAATAATAACTAATATAATAAATAAATAAATAAATAAATAAATAAATAAATAAACAATACATAAATAAATAAATAAATAATAAATAAATAATAAATAAACAATAAATAAATAATAAATAATAAATAAATAATAAATAAATAAATAAATAATAAATATAAATAATAAATATAAATAATAAATAATAAATAAATAAATAACCTAATACAAATAATTTCACATTAATTAAATATTAACTATTAAATTAATTAATTAATTAATTAAATTTGCATCGAATTTTGCTAATTAGCCATTCTTTTTCAGGACGGAAGTTTGAATAACGAATTGGTAACAACGCAAGAAGACGCCATTACAATTCCCGCAGAGTCCAGCAACACTAATATAATGGCCGATGTTATGTCGTTGTTTTTCCTGCGTATGAACCCTGCAATATGTACCAAAGACAGATGGGCGAGTGTCACATCATGGGTAAGTATATGCACAAGAAGTAATATTTGGTGGATGATTTCGAAACCAAGGTAGTGTTTATTAATTAAATAAAATGATTTTGTTTTTATTACATAGATTGTAACTGAATCAGCATGAGGAGAAAGGGAACAAATCAAAAATGCAAATTGTTTTGTTTAGGAAAGTTGTTCTTTAAGGCAAGGCAAATTGAACTATGAAGAAAGGAATCATGTCATAACAGCGTTTAACGGTGTTTAGGTGATAAATTGCAAGATCGAGGTAGCTGTACTGGGGAGGAGGGGATGAATTCACTGACATGTTCCGTTTCTCCTCAGTACTATAATTTTCATTTTGGATGTTTGCAATGCTATCACGTTATGCCTACATGCGGTGGCATCGATATGGCGGACACGGCACGAGCCTTGGGAGCCACTCACAGGGGCGCTATTCAAAGTACACCTGCTTAAACAAATAACAACCTTAATTTAAAGTATCCTGGTAGGGACGCAAGTTCTATGGCTGCCATGGGCTCCTGAATATCTAAGCGCCTCTGCGCCTATGCTATACCATGCATACAATACCATTTTTTTAAATTTTCCCTTCTATTTGTTATGTGCTGTCACATGGTATTAGATGATGAAACTTCACTAGGCCCATAATCAGTTGTTTTGTGCACATGCTGGAGTTTTGTAAGGGAAGGAAACCATTTTAGTGGTTGTGTCAAAAATGTTTATTTGTTTATTTGGTTTTCTCTGAAAGGATAAAAGTCACACTGTCATATCAGTTATTGAAATTAATAATATTAAGGTCACCGTTCTACAAAAGCATATAGTAATAACAAAGCAAGATAATATTCCATAAAGCAATTTCTTAAAACATAATGTAATGAAGCGTTATAGGGAGCATTGACCTAATACGTTTACGAATATTTTACCCACTACGTAGCCATACTACTAACACCACAATTACGATGAAATACCGGCAGTAGAGTGCATAATTGTGTTTCTCTTGAACATTTGCAATTTTTCTAAAAGGCAAAACTTGATGGGATAATTAGAGAACTACAAAACCTATCGGGTACACTGGGACCGCAACATTAACAAGATTAACTACAATTTGACTTCGATCTTTCAATGTGCGTTAGCATAGTAGCTAGTTGGGGTGCTGTCTTTTCTGTAAACGAAATTTCGTGTTTTAGTGATTATTTTTAAACAATTATTACAAGGTTGATTTTTTTAATTTCATTTTTTTCCCTAAATCAATGTATTTGGCACTTGGAGTCTGATTAATAGGACTTCAGCCAGCTAGCGAGGTTTCCAGGTCATGGCGATCATGACTATTTCCATCGCCGTGCCTAGCTTATTTGGCCTGTCTAAGCTTTCGTTCGTCAGAGATGGAGAAACTGAGACTTTAGTATTAGAAAACAACAACTTCAGTTTCGCTTCTACCGGAAATATAGCCTGGAAACGCCTCACAGAAAGCTAGCACGGTGTCCATGCGCCATCTGAGGGGATTTTTCATATGTGTGTGTGTTATATATATATATATATATATATATATATATATATATATATATATATATATATACATAATTTCAGTGATCGGATATTCTTCATATATCAATGAATAATAAACATCACTGTAGACATTACACCATTAATGTTATTCTTAACATAGGTCATACATGATAAGGATATTTATAGTTTATGGTAGTTTGATTCTTTTTAATGAACTGAGTTTGCCAGTGGTTTTCACTAATTCATTATTAATTACATTATCCGTTCCTATATTTATTACATCGTGGGTCAAATTTCTTATATTAGGTTATTTGACCCATATATGCCTGATTTATACACTACATGACAGATTATACTAGCTGGAAACAGATAAATATTTTTTTATAATAAATACTTTCATATCACCTATAATCACATGCCCTAAAAATCGGTTTATGATCAGAAGAACGGAGGAAAAATGTTTAACAAAAAAATGGTCAACACGCCTGAGATCCCTCTCTTAAAAGCTTGTGGACTTTACGTATTTAGAGAGCAGTCTAACACTCAGAAATGTACCGTAGGCTCCGACAGATCTGCTTCCGGAAATAACACATGCATGGATTCATGTTTGAAAAAACATGTTTACACGATGAACAAGTAGGGGATATTATTTCTTGCATTACTTGTAACGCTTACGCAATATTAAAATACTAGGCCCACATGAAACTGCAAAAGTATTTACTACCAGCAACATTTCTTCCTCCGCGGTGGGATTCGAACTCAGGTCCTTAAAGCTCTTCCTTTCCCACGCTTAAAAAAGTTGCAAATTTGCATCTGCTACTTTCAAAACCAGAGATTTTCATTTACAATATTTCAATATTTAGTTTTAAAGAAGAGACTTCGTTATGGAAAAAATCTAAATCATCGATGTTGTAATTTTACAATTTTAATTCTTTGTTTACTATTTTCGATAACAGAGTGTTTGCAAAAAATGACTATTCCTCTCGGTCAGGGTGAACTTGGATTCACTGTTCGTCCTCAGTTTCACGCCGAAGAAATTAAGTCTCAGAGAGGCTTTCTTTAAGATATGACACAGCGCAAATTGTATGTTCTGTAGACACTGAATTAACTCCTCTTAAGCTCAGCCAAAATGATTAATTTAATTTAATTTATTTTGTAAAAAAAGGTAAAAAATGAATGTTACTTTTGGGTAAGAAATAGATTACAGAAAATACATTCCGAAAAACGAATTTTCTGCCGAAGCGGGGCGCACGTGGCAAGCGAGTGACACTGACCGCAGAACAGCATACGAGCATTCTGAAGAAGCTTATCACTGTTCCACTGGGCTGCAACTCTTGACAGAGGAATGAGCTCGGGTTTTCATCTTCTCCGACTATTCCATAATATCCGAATTGTTTCTACTGAACATTTCTCTACTGATATAGGAAGCAGATAAAAGAGAAACTGAAGACAGAATTTTATCATCCATTAAACTAGCAATACTCAAGCCTACAATCAAAAAAACCAATATTTTGAGAGGGTATTTCGAAAAAAAAAATTAACCTCGCCACTCCATAAAATAATCCAACAGGTAGATAATAATTACATTCCAAAAGTACATAAAGTACATTACAAAATTCAGTGGTTAGGCGGAAGAGCAGGCCCTATGCCCTGAGCCTCGCCATTAATAAAGACATTATTATTATTATTATTATTATTATTATTATTATTATTATTATTATTATTATTATTATTATTATTTTTATTATTATTACTCTCTACCTTTCATACGACATGAACCTGTAACAGTAATCAGTTGAAGAAGAAATAGGGAAATGGAAATAGAAGTCACACACACGGTATACATTCTGCATCAGTAGTCAATCAATCAGACGTTGATATGCTGTACAAATCACTCACGCTGGGGTACCTGTATTCTGAGACTGAGAGCTGCGTTATCACAAACCAAGACCAAATAATAGCAAAAATGGTACACTGTATATCTGTATACGTATAATCCACGCCAAACTCTCCAAGAAATACGATCTTCTGCAAAATATTTCACCTTATAACATGTACCATACCTGAACAGTTCTAGAAAATAACACCTACATTTTATATTAGGACCGAAGCATCCCAACAGATAAAACCGTACATCACACCAGGCTTGTTAGCACCACCTGGAACAGAATATACAATAACATCTGCTTTGATAACTTCATTGTGGTTGACACTAACACCATCATGACAACCTACCAAATGAAGTTGGAAAAAAAGATAATTGGCCAAATTGTAAAGGAGCAATGCTCTCTGGGAGATTTGAAAACAAAACCTGTGGCATTTTCAGCCATTGGTGTGGTGTCGAAAATCACTGCCAAGTCACTGAAGGAACTCAGCATCAACATATCTGCAATTATTAATATCCAGAAGCCAGTCGTAACCAAAACGTATTCCATGGTCAGAAAGTACATGGGCGCATATTTTTTTCAAAACAGTTAATACAAAATTTTGTATTTTGTTTAGACAAATGTTGTAGGCTTATAATTCTCCAGTATATGAATTATTGTTTGCAATAACTATAAGTTTTATTTTTATTACTTCCAATATACATACGTATATATGAAGTAATTTGCGTATTATTGGGAAAGTTATGTAATGCTGCGGAAAATCGATTTCGAGATTTCAACGGAAATACACGTTTTGGGGTCACCTGATATCGAAAAAGGGGTATTTTTTCAAACGTCCGTCTGTCTGTCCATTTGTCTGTCTGTACGTCAGTCCGTCTGTTCATCCATCCGTCCGTCTTTGAACACTACAAGAGCCTAAACTATGCGTAGAACTTTTTCCAAATTGAAGAAACCCCTGTTCATCTGACTTGAGTCAAAGATTTGAAATTTTGAAAAACATTCTTTAAAATTAGGGGTATCTTACATGAAGCCCCTCGGACATTTTCAAAATTTTCTCAAAAACGGCTGCAATTTTTTCTTTAAATTTCATGTGAAAATAAAGAAAAATACACTTATAAAGGTGCCATATGTCAGATTTTCACTATTAACTCGGAATTTTCGAAAATGTAAAAAAAAATATTTTTGTTCACTTCTTCCTACAACCATAAAATTGAAGATATATATTTTCCTTCATATAAAATTTGTTGTCCATAGTTAGTTTTATTATGTTTAGTTGGCGTTTTAATCCATATTTAGTTGGCGATAGTTGGCAGCTGGCAAGAGAATATTTCAAGTCCGAATAGCTAGCCGAGACCAAAAGGAAATGAAAAACTAATACGGCGAAATTCTGTGCCATTCTGTAGCACCACTAGTTTACGTTTTCGCACTTACTAACGTAAGAAGAGGAAGTATTGTAATCATGAGCCGGAAAACGGCAAATTTGCAATACAAAAATTCTTATTACTGGGCCCTGGTATCGAAAAAGTAGACAAATCCTTTTTCTAAATATAGAAGAAAAAATTCTAACAAGTGGTGTAGGCAGAATCCATGTTTTGTGCGTCATTCATACTGAAAAATCGATTGACGGCAAAAGTCTGAGTGTCTGCCCGTCCATTTGTGCACAAGGCTGGCGTATAAACCGTTCAGCAGATCTCCAAAATTGGTATTCCCCAATTGTTTTGACTGATGTCGCGACCTCTGGAAATAAAAAAAAAAATATTTTAATTTTGGAGGTACTTCACATGAAGCCCCTCAGACATTTCATTTTTTTTTAAATAGCTCGACATTTTCTAATTAAATTTTGTTGTTGAATAGTGCGAAGGACGTTTAATAAAATGGTGCAGATCTCATTTTCGTTGAAATCCCTGATTATTCAAAAGTCGATTTTCCGTCATCTGCGCAGTCGAAGCTGCAGAATCGAGTCCTGCGGAAACATGGTCGTATTTGTGATTGTCTCTTCACCTCTCATCATCATCATCCTATCATCTCATAATTCAAACTTCAAAGCGTAACAACCTTGTCGTACTGAAGGATTCAGCTGAAAAAGTTGATCCTGAAAAAATTACACTTGTTAATCGTGTAGCGTGTTCAGGAATGACCTATACGCCAATAATAATAATAATAATAATAAGAAGAAGAAGAAGAAGAAGAAGAAGAAGAAGAAGAAGAAGAAGAAGAAGAAGAAGAAGAAAAGAATACGGAGAAGGCGAATGAATGTAAATGCAAGAGCCATAGCGCTCTGTTTGATGTGCGTTTTCAGAGGGGAGATCCGATGGGTGCCCAATGGAATATCGAGAGAGATAGTACTCGAAAGTTCTATTATGTGTTATCAGAACATTTCAACTTTCACTTCTGATGGAGTATATACTCACTATCAAAGTTTTTAATGGTTTTTTTGTTGTTTTTGGTTTTTCTTGCATTACAACATTGAGTGTTATCAGTGGTTACGTCGGCGAGAGGTTACGTCCGGAGGCTCCAGAGTGCAACTACCATTAAAATCACTACCACCGCGTCGTTGACCACCATCCAATCGGAGGCTGCCTTTACACATCTGGAAACACTTTCACATGATCGCCTCTTTCACCAAAGAATTGTCCAGTTGTAGCTCAGATACTCTCCGTCAATACAGTGCATTCAATTTCCGACTCGGTCTACGTACATAAGCATCTGTTTCAAAAAATTATTACTGTGTTAAACGATTTGTTTGGAAACCTCTTACAAGAGAACGTGTACATACATAATTGGATTTTCTTTCGATAATATTAAAGGTTATATTATATTAACAGAATACAATGTATTAATAGCTCTAAAGGTGTAACAAATATAAAGTCCCCAAATATAGTACTCTTGGACTGGTCAAGTAAATGACAAGAGACTACTGTAGGACTTTGTCACTAGATCACTGTTTATGTGCAACAAATTTGTAGTGACTATTTTTACTAAGGCGTAGAAAAAAGAAACTTTTACCGTAGAGTCCAGAGGAAGAAAGAGACGGGACATTGACGAAGAGAAGGAAATAAAAAATTTCTTCAAAACTCAAGGTAAGATTTTACTTCAAATTATTATTGTACAAAGCATAACTTACAATTATGTCGAAAATTTCTATAAATCATTTTACTTGTATGCCATTAATTGGTACGAAAAATGAAATTCTTTGCCGTAATTTTTATCGTGTCAATATTTTCACAGAAAAACAGATTTTGTGAATTCTCGATACGGATTTTTTTTTCAGAACTTTATTGTAAAATAAACGATTTTTCAAAACATACAATAAAGACAAATATGTGAACGTTCGTACACTAATTTTCTGATATATTTCAAACAGTGAGTAAATCTCAACTGTAATTAGAAGTTATCAACGCCGATTATCTAAGCCCTTTGTAAGAGCAACTTAAAAATGCTTGTTTCATGTTTCACTGGAAATTATTTCACTAACGTCTCGAATAACTTGGCTTAACCTAATATTTTGTATTGTATTTTGTAAAACAAATGGAAAAAAATAAATCAAATATTGTAAATGATTATAAAGATACTTTATCTGCTCGAGGACGATATCTCATTCATCCCTTCATCCCTTCGTCATGGGATAATACAT